TATTATAACTAATCATCTTGAAAATTAACCATCTTCCTAAGTCTACAACTGTAGTTTCACCTGCAGACTGAATCAAATGCAAATAATTTTACAAGGGTGTTGCTTTGATGATGCTCATGAGGAACAAGAAGAAAGACATTGATTGCTTTTCATGTCTTGTGTGTAAATCTCTTCACTCCATAGTGGGCCAACTTACAATGCAGTCTCAGTGGCGGACAGCTACAAGAAGCACAACACTTCATGCATCCACTCTTCCCAGAATGCTAATGACTTGCTCCTATAACATTTCTATACTGCATGCATACAGCTTTGGATTGCACCATTGCCTGGAGGCAGTTCTCTAAACATGTTCTTCTCATGATGTATTTGTACTCCATTTTTGCATGTGGCTAAAGAAGGTGTTTTATATACTTAATGAAGCTCAATTTCAGGACGGAATGCAAATATATCTGAGCGCAGGTCTCTCACATGTGCAAGTAAAATGTTGAATAGTTCTCTAGTTTTGTCTGGTATTTGTGTATACCACGTCAAGCGCTTGTTTTAAGGAGGGGCTTAGAGTTGCATATTTTTTTTCTCTCTATCTGTTCCTTCATCCATTTCTTATTTTCTTCATTCTGAAACCGAGAACAATCAAACCAAAGGATCTCCTGCAGCAGCAAGAATTCCAAAGAGGTGAATGAAGTTCCGTGTAAAGAGAGAAATATTCAATAGGATGCACACATAAGTGAGAATGTAAGTTTCCCAACAAAACATGTAAAAATGCTGCTTCTACAGGGTGAAAGGAAGAAACATATGCAATGCTGGACAGATAAGTGAAAGAAAATACCCCAAAATTAAAAATAAATGTTCAAAAAATAATATACCTAAACCTTATTTAATAACACTCATTACCACAAATACACATTATTAGAAACTTTTCACTGCTTTGACTATCTTAGCAGTTATATAATAAACAATAAGTAATGACACAAGGGGTATGCTGAATATCTATTTGCCCTCCCCATGGGACAAAGAAACCATGTAGGGTTCCCACAGATAACTGAAATAATTACAAAGTTTCCCTCTAAGCCACATTTCGCAGCCTATTGAGTAGAGAAAAAATGGTTGTAAAATCCATATCTTGGAAATGTATGTAAGGCGGCTTAATTGGGGCCAAATTTCAACAAATCGTGTCATGTTTTTACACCTTCAGGTACAGTTAGATAAAAGCACACAGCAAGTGGCATTTTCTATCGAAAGTCACAAAGAATAAGACAGAGAAAGCGTGGGAGCTGCGTCTCACCAGAGAGGAGCGTTGGCTTTTTAATGTCTCACTGTTTGGAGGCTTTCTGCATCTAAAGCCCTCACCTGCATTTGTTTCCACAGAGACATGCAACATTTCTCTGTTCTGTGTGCATGTTCACACAAATGTGCTCATCGAAAATATCTTTTCATATGTTCACACCTTAGATGCAGTTGGAAGGCAATGCACAACAAGGATTGAAAAAAAAAATGAAAACCAACATGCCAAGATGGAGTTTTCAGCATAAATCTAACTGAACATCGACTGAATTTTAAAGAAAAGAGCTGATAAATGTAAAGTGAATTTGAAAATGCATAAAACTGAAAAGAAAGAGCTTAACTGATGCAAATCTCTCAAAAAAACTGCTTTGTTCAAACTTAACACAAATAAAGATCAGATGTGGGGTTTCACAAGGCTATATTTTAAGCTCATGTTTGTTCAGTATTTACATGCTCCACATAAATCAGATTACGAAGTTGTTTTTAACTGTAATGATTACACTCAACTTTGAAACATATTCCAAAAAACCTAACTGCACTAAAACGGTTCTTCAAAGCATAGACTAAAGAGGATCTGTGTGCAAATGACAATAACATTTTCAGTAATTATACATGATTTCCTTCCACTGCACAAATATGCACCTATTAGCTTTGGATTATCACATAAAATTTAAATGAAAAAATACAATTTGAGGTTAATGTTTGAAAAAAAATCAGAACAGGAAAGAGAGAAATATAGTATAAATAGAAAAAGAATATTTTTTTGTTGTCATTTTACCTATACAAATCAAGTGGGTACATTGAGATATGCTAAACCCACATTTTTTCCAATGCAAGACATGGACTGTACCCACTCTCACACAGATGTACTCAAACAATGAGGAGAAAATCTGACAGGCAAAAGTAGAGAAGTATTACACATTTTTATTCAAGCCCACCCCTCATTAAATGTTCATGAGAATTAGTTCCCAATCATTTGTTACCATTATCTTTGCTCCGACATTTCCCCCTTCTTCCTTTTCTAATGAGAACTACCATTACTTTGAGTAACTGAAACTGTTTCAATAAAAAGAAATAAAACATCCAATTTCAGGATCAATGCCCAAACGTCTAGACTGCTTTTAGCAGCCTGAAAAAATCAATATGCAGTTTACAGGCATCTCTGTGTGCTGCTTGGTATACAGGCATATGGGCACACAGATGCTCAACATACACTCACAAGCACTGCTCTCCTTTTCTGTAGACTGTGTTTCTTACACACGCACACACACCTGCCTCTTCCCTTTCAGTGTTTCTTCCAAACCAACACTGTACAGGAGCTGGTCTGAACCACATGCCCAGGAATATGGGCGTACTAGAAACGTACATTGCTTGTCACATTTGAACTGTCAGCCTGAGCGCTTGTCTTCTTGTATCTACTTCTCTGTGCATTTGACTTTTTTTATTCAAACTTTTTTACCTTCTGCCTATTCATCGTGACCATCAATCTGCCTATCCTCTATAATCTTCTTGCCTGTGTCACTCGGAGATGTCCCCCTTTTCTCAGCCTGTCTTTCCGTCTGGCCACCCCTCCCATCTGCGGACTCTTTCTGTCAGTCTTTCTACTTGCACACCCTCCTCCTCTTCTTTCCCCTGTCCCCTCATCCCTCCTATCAATCCCTCCCACTCCACCACCAACTAGGCATGAAAACGGTGCTCCATTAAGAGCACCGGGGCTAAGCCCAGACTGACACATACTGCTTTGATCAGCCGTGAGCTGGGCTAAACACTCCACCAAACCCCCAGTCTAAGGAAGCATAGTTGGAAAGGCGGAGCAGAGGGGGGTTGCATGTTTAGAGGAAAGCAAAAGTAGCTGGAATTAGAGGAAATTTTGACCAAGGAGATAAAAACTTGTCCACAAGAAAAGAGAAGCACAGCTCTGTAAATTAAGGACATGTCCCACAATTACACCATTCTACTTTCTTCAAGTTTTTGTTGATTTTTTTTTATTTTTAGCATCACTTGATTCCCACCATGTTGTCTTAAGCCTTTGTTTTTTCTCCCTCCCTTCCATCACCTCCAGATATCCTCTGAATGCACCACCGACAAATCACTCAAGTGCACAGCTCAAAACTCTGAGGCTAACGGAAGCGTCTAATGTGAAAACAATCTCACATGAGATTGCTGAATATCAGAAATTTTCATGACAGCTCATCTGACTTCACAAAATAAAAAATAAAAATACAGCAGTTACAGAAAATTTAGAAAACATGACATTGTGGCATAATGTTTGAATTTTGTCAAGACTTTTCTAGCTTTTTTTCTCACGTTCCTTTCTTTCTTTTCCAGGATTACAAGGTCTTCACAACCCCTTTGTGAGTCTTAGTATCTTAGTCATTAAGATATATATCATGTGTATAAAACTCAGTGTAAGTTCATAGAAATTTTGCTTCTAGGTTGTGCTTTGAGATTATAATGTTTCATACTTTTAAGTTATGATTCAAACTGATGTGCAGGTCTGCCTTCAGGATTGTATAAAGAGTAGATCAACAGGTAACAAAAAAAAATACATTTTTGAGAGGTTTCAGAATTGAAACAGACAGATACTAAACCCGCAGCAGTAAAAGGACAAAAACTTTGTCTTTTTCTCCCAAGGACTGAGGAGAAAAGGGATTTCCGCTCACTGCTAATCAATCAGGCTGTGATAATGGCTCCCATGCCTAGCTGTCGACTGGAAGGGTCAAGGCATCCCGTGACCCAACGCCCAGGGCCCAGGGGCCAAAGCTCCTCTCAGAATAGCACCCCAGGACAGACTCCCTGGGCTAATTGTCCAAGCCAGTGTCAGCCTTTTCAATGTCCCCCTCCACAGCCGTCCCCCCTCTTTCCACTTTCTCTGTCATTCCTCTCTTTCTTCTCTCCCCGTCTCCCTACCCATTATGCCCTCCTCGCAACTCTGCGATCCTCTCCGTTTCAGCGTAACTGAAGAATCTATACCAGCTACATCAGCATACAGGAGCGAGTCAGGAGACAAAAATACTACTTACAGCTTGGGCAACACAGACAAACAGAAGGTGGCTGGAGAAAATCAGAGAAAGTTAATGCAATCCCAGAGACAGGGGAGGAGAGCGAGAAATTGGACAGCATGTCAGAAAAACACAAGTGACAGGAGCAAAAACAACACAAAGACAAAGAACACTGAGAGAGGGAAGAAAGAAAAGAAAAATGTAAAGGACATAGTGGGACATATGAGTAGAGTCACAGAGATGCTCATCCCTTTTATCGCCAGAGTGCATTGGCCAGTCTATCCACTTCCAAATGGATATCAATGAGTTTCAGGAAATCTGCTCAACATCATTCTGACAGAGTACGAGTCTGAATGCAAAAGACAAAACACACACACAGAGAGCAAGAGTCCGAAGCCGACTCTACTCCAGTTCTGTGCAAAGACATTCCTGTCATTCCAAGCGCACACTGCTCATTAACATCATTAGATCCCACAGACAGAAGGAGAGAGTGATTAAGAGGGAGACCCTGGTTGCACTAGCTCTGCATCTCTTCTCACTTCTGTCACCCTTCTTTCATCCTCCTTGTATGTCTCTGCACACTTCCATCAATCAAACTCACTTTCTCCCCTCACAGTCTCTGTCAGGATCTCGGCCAAAGAGCGCTGAAGTGGAGCAAAGTCCCCCACATCCAAAAAATGCAAACATAAGAGATGACAATTGAAATCAGCTACTCACTGGGAATCTTTAGATTTTTCTGTATTTTCTTTTTTCCTGATCTGTCACTCCTTATCCTCTTCTTCAGTGGGGAATGGGAGTGTGCTATCCTGGCGAGAGTGTAGTGTCAGTCCGATAGAGGGAAGTTGCCTTCAGCGTGCATGAGCATGTGTCAGTGTGTGCGTGGAAGAAGGCAGAGAGAGCGTGAGTATCTGTCTCTGTGCCTTGCACTGCTCTGACTGAGAGAGCTGAGGCTGTTTTAAACAGGCTGCTCTCCCCATGTGACCAGCCCAGCCACAGGCAGGAATACATTACAGAGACACACACACACTCGCTCTATCTCCCCCTTCTCTCTCTCTCTCTCTGTCAAACGTACACACACCATGTCCACATTGCACCCCCTAGCCACGGCTCAGGGTATTGGAGAGAGAGAAACTCTCACAAACAGACATAGACAAACAAATTTACCATGCATGCCATTAGGCATTAGAACAAATTTTAAAAGTTGGACTAATCTTGCCAGATATGCAACAACTTCTTCTCAAACAAAAACAAACATAGCAGAAGATGTTGTGATATTGGTTTGAGTGATGGAGGTTTTGGCCGGTTAAGAAATTCCCTTTAGATACAATCAAGAACTGTATAATTCACACTTGAATCAATACTGTTATTAATAAATAAATGTTACTAATAAATACGTATATATTCATAATGGGGAGCTTATTTTGTCAGAAATAGCAGTACTTAGTTTTTTGTCCTGAGATTTGTTGCAAAATGTATTTTTTATAGACTTTTGTGCGCTTTCAAAATAAAAGTGGACAAACATAGCTTAACTTTTGTGCTTATGAAAGAAAACAATGCTTGTCGTGTCGCCACAAAGGAAACAAACTGGAGCAGTGGCTACAACAGATCCCAGGAACAACATCAGACATCTCAGTCCAGAAATGTGCAGTCCTTGGCACAGCCAAGATACTGCGCAGAACCCTCAAGCTCCCAGGCCTCTGGTAGAGGACCCGAGCTCAGAGGATAAGAACCACCCGCGGTGGGTGAGAAGGGATTTTTTTTTTTTTTTATATATATATAGAAATTATGAAATGAATTAGTAAGAACAAAAAAGGAAAACTGTGATTGACAAAATAAACTCCTTTAATTGCAAAGTCACATTTATCTTAAGTCATATTTGGTATATGTAGCATTTTTCTAAATCCTGAATTTAACAGTCACTTAGCAGTGCTATAAAATTGCATTAAGTGGCTGGAGAACACATACAATTACAACTTTAATACATCTAGCTGATTTAAAATTATTCATTTCAATCCTTTCACTGATTGAAATGATATAATACCCCAAAGATAAAATATTGTTAATGAAATATTCAAAATGGAAAAAAATTATGTTTCAAAACAAAAGGAACGCTGCTCTTCTTATTCTGGACCTCGGTCATACCAAAATCTCAAATTTCCAATAACTAATCAGGGCAATTGCTATTTCTCTGCTGGACCTTTTACCTATAACATACTGACTCATTGGTTTTCTTTTGATCATGTATTTTAATAATTATTGTCAGACTTATCTAGTAATTTATATTTGGTAATAGAGTGCCCTTTTGTTCAGGTTATACTCTTGAAAAGGATATTAATCACAAGGGACTTCCTGGTAATACAAGATAAGTAAAAACACAAAATACTGTACTCAAATTTGAGCCAGTTCATCTAAGCACATTAATATGCATACTGTATCTATAAGCTGTTTCCTTCCTATGATTTAGACTCTTCAGTGTTGCCTATGGTAATCTATCACACCTGGAAGCACTGACCTTTTCAGTAATGAAAACCTTTTAAAGTTGCCCTTCTACTTCAAGAAATATGTCTGCATAAGAGCTCCTATACCTTACAAGAAAAGTGAAACATGCATTACATAGAACGTTTAAAAGCCACAACTGATGCAATCTCAATACCATAAAGTTCTCACATGGAACTGTGACATGAAAAATATACAGATGGTCTATTTTGGTTTCTTCCCAGGTACAGAATGGACAAGCAATGAAACAATAAGTACGCTTCATTATTCTTTCTAAAAATTGCAGCACATACAATATTTGGACTGCGTGCCAAGAAATGGATGGATGACCACCTCCTAACACATTTTTCCTGGACTGTTCAGGAAAAATTTCTGGCTTCCGCATATTGGACTGAAATAAATATCTTCCAAAAGGATCAGACTTATTATTATAAATATTACCAGCATATTCTGTTATTTTCACAACCATGTCCAATACCAAATAAAGGCCAAATCTTATCGATAAATCTAAATAACAAAGGAACTTTCAAAACAAATGCACATTTCAATATTATCAACAAATTATTAGTAATGATGATTGTTTTTACTCTTTTTCTTTTTTTGCTGTTGATGATCATGTGCAACCAGTTGCCCTCTCCTTATGTGTACTTCCAGCAGGGTAATGCCCCATGTCCAAAAGCTAATGCCATATCAAACTGGTTTATTGACCATGACAAAGATTTGCAATAGTGGCTATTATTGACAGTAATGAGACAGGAAATTAGCAGAGAAAGGTGGTAATACAAGACTCAAGGCTGGGAAGCACATTTCAAAGGGCTTCGTTGAAGATTACTGACCACAAAATATGGGGTGAGGTGTACTGGTACATCACAAACTTCCCCATTGTGTGTTACTTTTGGCATCACATCACTGTCTTTATTTATTTGTAATTTTCATATTTAATCGTCATCTCATTATCTTGATTATAAATTTCAGTGTTCTACAAGGGCTTCGAAATGGTCAGACAATTAGTGGAATTATGGAATAATTACATTTTGCGAAAGAGACCATCCTTACCGACACCCACTGTAATCTCACAACTCATTATAAAAGCTTCTCATTCAGTAGCTTCTACACAACAAATCCTCACGCAGTCCTCTTTCACCTCTGATTATTATCCTTGTTTTATTTTCCAATGCCTAGGAGGGTTAAGGCTTGCCCTGCTTACTTTTCCAGCAAAATAGACAAATTATTCAGATTTGTAAGGTCTAGACATAAGTATTTTCTTTCAGTTTCCAGCACCTGGGAAGCCATGGTCGGTGAATGTTCATTAGCGCAGAAACTGCAGTAATGTCTGATGTTAAATAATCTTGCTTTTTTTGGTCGTTGCTTTTAAATCTTATCTGAAATTGCACAAATCCTCTAACAGTGATTTTCATATGCAGATAGCATGGCCTTTTAGAGCTGCAGCGGTATTGTATACACATTTTTTCTAGAGTTCTAAAAAATTCTGTGGCAGCTCAGTTCATTTGGCAATCACATTGTGCAGACTAAATTGCCAAATGTGTAGTTTAAGGTATGCTGCAACATAATACATGTCATCATGTCTTCCTATGCCATTAAAGCAAAAGTCAGACTTGCAATAATGTGACAGGGGTATAAACGTGATATTACGGTTCTATGAATCTCAAAGAAGATATCGTTTAAACATGTTCGCTGTCAAATTTCTCTACAGATTTTCAGCCTTTCGTAAAGGTCATCCAAAAGTAACTCTCTCTGGGATGTGAAGGGCAGCTTATGAGCATTATGGATAAATAGTAGTTGTCCAGTACTACTTGGCTTCAGGGAGTTTGCACCATCTTTAATCCAGGTAGCTCAGAGACGTCTGCAGGGCAGTTTTGTGAATGAGTACTGTGGAGCAGAACCAAAATTAGAATACAAGCTGGAGGGACTTCACCTGACAGATGTGACAGGAAGGCAGATACATTGCAACGAAAGACGAACAACCTTGTTTATTAGGTTATTTAACTTATTGCCAAACTTCAGCCACCGATGTAGGCTATCCATATTATATTCAGCACATATGTTACAAAGATTATTTTGGGCAATTTTCTGCTTAGGTTCTTTGCTAGTAAACATTTCTATAAGTGCCTATTAAACAACTAACTACCAAGTCTGAACACACTTATGTGGACACAAAGGCACACATGAAATCAAAATAATACTCTTGAATTTCTTAAAACCCTCTTTGCAGAATTTTTCTCCCTACACAAATGTGTTGACCTCCTCCAGTTGCCAACTTAGTTCAGGAGTGAGAAAGCAAGTGTGACATTTGTGACAGTCAGTTACAGACTTTATGTGGATGCTGTCTCTGCTGCAATTTTGTCGGCTTAGGGTGCAATGGTGTGTTCCAAGAAGGTGGCACAGGCTTTATTTAAAGAGAAATCTTACCTATAGATCAATTTAGAACATACAAACTTAATGCTTTGGCTTAAACTAACCTTTAATGGTGTGTCCAAACTTGCATTCTGATATATATTATGTTGTAATGTTATTCTCTTTTCAAAATCATACCCGACATGTTGCTTTTATTCTTTCATGCACGTTTGAGAAATCAGAGAATCTGGACGAGAGGTTCAACTGCACTGGTCTGTGATCTGTAGTGTTTGAAATCCTCAATAAGTCTTTAACATGCTGTCAGGTCCCAGGAAGTGAGATGCATTGAGTACAGTATCCAGTTCTGAGATTATGCTCAGATGATCTCCTGGGAATCATTTCTGATCGATCTAATTACCAGAGTTCTGAGTATGAAGTAGAAAATGTCTGCTGTGATGTTTCATAACCTGCTCTAAATTAACAGATTAGCAGGTGTCCTTTTTAGTCATGAATGGGCTGAAAAATGGAAATTCAATTACTGGTGTATTTCCAAAACAGAATTTTTTTGTATGAGGCATTTTTAATGAAATGTAGATGCATACACAAAATAATTTAATCCATGTCTATTTTAAAATAATAATAATAATAATAATAATAATAATAATAATAATAATAATAATAATAATAATAAACATTTTTACAACTTGTACATTCATATGCCTCATGGTCATGTTCTGCAAAATAGTGTGTATTTATTTTATCTCTCACTCCTGGAGACTCGGTCACTCAGGAGGGCAAAAACATATTACAGAAAAGTTGAGCAATAAAATTTGCTGGATTTTTCTTTAGTAATGCTCTGGAACAGTTTAAGTAATCTCATTTTATACTTCAGCACATGGAGCAAAACATAGTTTTAAGAAAAAAATATTTGCATGTGTGATTCAAATTTCAAGATTCTATGTGAAACAATTTATAAGCCAAAGTATGGAACAGATAAGAAGGGGAAGACAGTGCTGGTTTTTAAATGTTGCATGTTAATCATTTTGATACTTGCCTACATGTTTGGCTCAAAACACCTTGTTC